TAATTAATAAAAATATCATCTAAATATATATAATATTAATTAGTATAATAAAAAATATATCATAATTTCAAACAAAAGTCAAGTCATTGGAGGGGTCCACGAAAAATACCACCTAAATAACAGTCGATAGAAAGTTAACGGAATGATTACGTCATGCATAATAGAAAGGCTGTTTTGCTACCGTAAATTAGTTTAGGGATTAGTTTGCGCGTGAATTCAGTTGAGGAGGTAATTTGCCACTGCATGATAAGTTGTGGGGGCAATTTTGCATGTTTTGCCTGTCAACAACGGTGCTCTCCCACTGGTACTCCACTACTCCCTATTTGTTTTAGGTGAAATAGTAGGAAGGAGAATATCTTACCTCTATCTTCCTTTTTTGAAAATAGGCGATGATGTTATCTCTATTTTCATATCTTTTTATGTATTTATTTATTTATTCAATTTCTTTCACTTTGATTAAAATAAAATATAAAAGTAATTAAAGAAAGGTTAGGAATGGTTCCTCCCTGTCAATTTCTTTATTTAAATGAGAAAAATTTTCTGCTTCTCATTACTTTCTTCATTTTTTTTTGGTACATACTTTCTTCATTTTTTTTAACTAAACAAAAGTTATTACGGAGTGCATATATATTTGTGAAAAAGTATATGCATATATATGTATATATATCAAAATATTTTTAATAACATTTTAAAAAAATTAAGAAAAAATAGTTATAAATTTACGTTATTTAATAAAGTAGATAAAAATTTAAAATAATTTCATTTATATTTTAAAATAATTTATGTCAATCCCTTTTTAATAAAAAATTTTCTTACAAAGATCACAATATTAGAATAGAGAGTATCTTAAGCGTTAGATGAAAAACAATAAAGAAGGTGAAACTGGCATTGAAAAGCAAGTGAAACGCAATTTCAGTTTTTCGGATTAAGTTTGACTTATTATTTTAAATAAATATTAACTTAATCTAACATTATAATTCTTTTCGTAAAAAAGAAAAAAAATGAAACTGAAGTCACTTTAATGTCACACTATTATAATTAATATTATTTTACATTATATAAACATATAATTTTATATATTAATTCTCAAAATGAACACGCTTTAATAGGACACTTACTATACATTTAAATAAAACTTTCTTAAAAATTGTATCATTACTGTTTTATTAAACCAAATTATATATATAAATTAAAACATTTAAATTAAAAAAATATGTCAGCCTTTGGATATAAATCGAACAGCATTGAAAACTCCCATTGCAAGCATAGAAATCATCGCTGCACCGACACGCGGGGTAAATTTTTAATTAAAATTTTTATAATTATAGTATTTTATAATATTTTAATTTTATAATACGATATATTTTTTATAATTAATTTATTATTTTTAAAATTTTATTTATAATATTATATATATTTATTTAATCATATATTATATTTATTTAATATCACAAAAATTATAAATCTATAATTTTATAAAATATTGTAATTATTCTATTACTTTTTTTTTTTTTTGAACATGCATGAGAACTATTACCTATTTTTTAATGTCCAAAAGTTCACAAAAATTAAAAGGGACAAGCTCTCTTACGAAAAATTCTCCAATAAATGAAACAAATTGATCCATTGTTCTCTTTTTGGTCTCTCTGCACGCTCTTAGGCAAACAACAATATATCGCCGCCCTACCACTCCATGGTTTGCTACATTCCAAGCGATGGCAAATGGACTTGAGGTCAATGAGGTGGGTTTTATACTCGATAATAAATTAATATTTTTAATCATGTGCAATTGAAAAAAGTGTTGTAAATAACAATTTTTAATGTAATTTTAATTTTTTTTATGTTGTATAATAAAGAATAATTTTTTTAATTTTTTAATTTATTTCATTTATGTTAAATGATTTAAAATAAAATTTTTTATTTTTATAAATTATTATTAAATTAAGTTTGATGTAACCTA